CCTGTCCCCCGAGCGGCCTCGGCATCCTTCTCCTCAGCCAAGCCCAGGATTTCCTCGTTGCTCGTTAAATGTTCCTGGCTGAGGTCAGAAAGCGAAAATTCCAGGCTGTCCTCGCGCCAGATGTCGGCCGATTTGGAGCGCTTCTTCTTGAAGCTGGCCGTCTCCATGAAGCCTGTCCCGTTGGTCGCGTACCGATGCGACCTCCCGTCGCCGCGGCCTCGGCATCCTTCTCCTCAGCCAAGCCCAGGATTTCCTCGTTGCTCGTTAAATGTTCCTGGCTGAGGTCAGAAAGCGAAAATTCCAGGCTGTCCTCGCGCCAGATGTCGGCCGATTTGGAGCGCTTCTTCTTGAAGCTGGCCGTCTCCATGAAGCCTGTCCCGTTGGTCGCGTACCGATGCGACCTCCCGTCGCCCTCTGCCAGGAACGCTGGCTCGTCCCCGTAGAGCCTGCTCTCCTCCGAGTCAGGCATGCTCTGCACGGAGGCGGCGGTGAGGACGGTACTGCTGTCCACGCTGGGGGTGACGGAGGAGTCGGTGTGGTAGGAAACAGGCCGCAGGCCCATGTCCACCCGGTCCACCCAGATGGGGCTTCCAAAGTCCTCTAGGTTGGCCTCCTGGGCGAAGGGCTCCAGGCCGTTCTCCGCCAGGGACTGGGGAATGCTGGGGGTGCTGCTGGAGCGGGTGCTCACTTCTGAGTTGCGGTGGATAATTTTCCCGGAGGAGGCGTGCCGGGTCCGGCGGGAGGCTTTGCTGGAGAGGCGAAGCGAGCGGGAGGTGTGCTTGCGGCCCAGGCCGGGGTGCTTCTCTCCGTAGAAGGCGTGCTCTACGCCCTGGCTCTCCGCGTTCCCCATGGCGTCACGGTCTGCAGGAGGAGACAGCGGGCACGGTTACAGGCAGCAACCAAACGCGCAGGCAGGACACACCGACACTTCACTCAAAATAGCTTTTTTTTTTTCATTTTTTTAGTGAACCTCTCTTCAATCCTACAGCTACACCATAGCTTCTACCAGATCTAGCAGGATGCACTTTAACAGCAGCAACTGATCCCACAGGATTAACTAAGGGGGCCAGCAACCGTACCAGCACACATAGAAATACAACTCAGTTAAATTGGTATGTAGGAAAAAGCCAGACGATAGCTATGCTGGTGTAAACGAAGAGTGTAGGAGAGGGAAGGGTTGGACCTTGAAGCTTGGTGTGAACTGGAACTAGTTTACCACCAAAAGTGCACTGGCAATCTCAGCTCTGCACACATTCACTTACTCTTCATGTTTACTTCATGATTCCAGTCAACACTACAAACTAAAAAACTCAACAGCTATTGTTTATCTGCATATAACAAGATGGCAAAAAGCAGATGGATTATGTCTTTATCTGAAATGTCACTTTTCTTTTTTTTTTTCTTTTTTTTTCTTTTTTTTTCTAGGAACTGTGAACTGAAGCACCAAATAGCAAAGTGCAAATTCAACTGTTTGGCAGCAAGCTAGTGATAGGTTTGATTTCTGGAACAAAAAAACAGTGCAACATGAAGCAGGTACAGAGAGCCCCACACTAGAAATTCATATTATGAAAAATAAATTAGCATGAGTGACTCAGACTATACAAAAATAACCTTTCCTTCCCACTCACTCTGAAGCAGATAGCTAGATCTAAGTGCTTTGATCTAGCAAAGAGAAAACTGAGCTGGAATGCAGGGAGTGGGTTTCTGTCCCCATCTCTGTACCTAGCCTCCTGCATTATTCAGTTGCACACATCCCACTGCAAAACAGGTTTCACATCCAGAAGATGGGAGTGGTGATCTGGATTCAACCTTGAAAAATACTTTGAGGTCATGATCTCACTCAACAAATGTCAGAAATATTTTATCAGTAATATTGGCTCCTTCTGGCCAAAGATCAAGAAGAATAAGAAAAGCAAATGTTAAAGTACGTGGCCATTCAAAATTAAATAGGAGATCCTGAACTACACAGAAGACAATTATTTTTAGATAAATAGTCCATAAATCTTGTTCTGAAATTCCAGGACAATTTCCTCATTCTGAGGTATTTTTTCTGTTAGTCCTGGTTGAAAAAGAGCTGCCCTGACAGTAAATAATCTGGCATTTCTCATTCCTTGGGGCAATTTCTTCTCCTTTAACAGGATGCGCCGAAGTTAGCGAGCCAGATGCTGGCAGAATTAATGTGATCATGTATTTTCCCTTGCTATCTCAATTCACACAGTCACGGCTGCACGGAACTGAATTAGCCCAACATAAATTACTCAGAAAGCAAGGAATCAATTGTGCTAAACGCAGGCACAACACTTTCTGCCGTAGGCTGCCCTGGGCGCCTGTGGTAGCACTGAACTTGTACAGTGATACTTCTGACCACAGTCAGAAGATTATGCTTCTCTGCTCTTCTACCCAGCTAAGTAGGTCATGTCTGAGGCTAAAAGTCTGTTCAGTTCTGGAGCAACAGGCACCTCCATAAATATATGGAGATTTCTCTATCTAAAATAAATATAACTGCATGTCAAGTAAACTATACCAGGAAACACCCTATGTTGACTGAAATTAATGGCTGAACTCCCATTGACTGTCATGAAACTTGGCTATTGCACATAGTTTAGAAAAATAAATGGGATGAACAGAGGGCATGTTTTAATCTAAAAACAAAAAATAATAATAAAAAAATTACAGTAATATAAATCCCTAGACAGGGCTGATTATTTCTTAAAAGCTACAGCCCTTTGATATGGACTGGACTGAAAAACAAACATCAGCTAGTTTTTGCTTCTAAAACATTTTATAGCACAAAACCTGCATTTTGTCTTCCACACTGATGTCTAAAACCAGACCTCTACTCCCCATTTTTGCAAAAGAAACCCTCTCGGGGTAATGCCTTTAGCTGCTTTGATTCTGACATTCTTGCTAACCACACTTTCACTCCACAGGTTTTCCACCAGCTGCAAAGCCCATCAGAGCATGCAACCATTTATCCCCAGTCTCCAGCCACGCAGCCAGCACTTCAGTGCCTACCTATGGAAAAAGAACAGTTTTATAAGTCCTCTTGAAACCCTGAATGATCGAAGAATGGCTTTTTACCTTTAGAAACAGAGCTGCCAAGGGGCAGGAATGTTCCCTGCACACCACACGACGACGCACGCTTGCTGAGGAAAATGCTGAGCAGCGGGGCTACAGAAAGCAGCCCTGTGCCCCCATCTCGATGGAGTCTCCATGCACACCGGGCAGAATTTCACCCAGCCAGAAAGTAACTGAACCACAAATGCCTTGGTGACGAAAGGAGCAGCAGCTCAGGCTGCATCCCACCAGGAATAACTGCTAGAAACACTTTCATGGAAGGAGGAAAGTCTTTTCTCCGCAGACAGCGACAGGAATGTTTACTGAGTGACTTCACACAATGAGAAGTATCTGCTAGATACCGGCAAGAAGTGTCAGACTTCAAAGTAAAGAGCCGTCCCTTTCAATTCCGTGGATTGGCGCTTTAGGTGAGGACGCGTTTGCAAATCCTGCAGACAGCTATCTGTTCCACAGATTAGCCCGTCCTTCCCTCCCTCACTCCTGCATCCAGGAAGCACGGATGAAGTGGCCTTACCCTGGAGCCACTAACGCTGCAGGTTTGCGCTCTGCACGGGGGGCGAGGAGCCGCCGCTCCGGCCGCAGCGCTGCCAGCTGGCACCCCTGCTGTGGCACATCACTGCTCCCTGCCAGCTGCCAGGAGATGAGGGGCACGACGGGCTGAGCCCACCGCAAGTGGGGATGGCCAGCATCACCAGCTCAAGCTGAGGGTGGCCGCGTGTGATGCGCCTGGGACAAACGGCTCCCCTCCTCCTCCGACTTTCTCATCCCCGTTTTTGCATCTCTTCTGCATTTCTGGCTAAGCATTTCTATGAGCTACCCCCCAACCAATTCCAGTACCCACGCAGCGGGGTCCACTAAAACAGCAGAAAATAAACCCAGCGGGAGGAAGAAAGGAGGGGGGGGGAAATACTTTATTCACTAGTTTATTTTTGCTGGGATTCAACCGGCATATGCCAGAGGCTGCACAAGGGTGCCCGTCTGGGTACACGGCAGGGTGAGGGACAGGGCAGCACAGCTGGAGGGCGATGCAGGAGCTGGGAAAGGGGAGGACAGCAAGGGATACCTCCCCCATTTTTTGGCAGCAATGAGCTGTTAGGTCAGCTAAGGCAGATGTGGAAAGGCAGCCCTGAAACATGAATTCTCACTGAAGCAGATGCTGGCATCCTCGGCTAGCAGGAGCTGGCGCTGGGCAGGGGAGGGGAGCCCCAACCTCCCCCTCCTAGGGGCAGCGGCAGACACCCTGGGGCAGAAACGTCTTAAACTGCTCCAGCAACAACTGCCAGATGCTGCCTGTCTACAGCTTAACTGAATTTAGCACACTCAACGAAAAAAATCTGTATCACATTAAGAAAATGAGTAATGTTAATGGGAGCTGAACACAAATGCCGGTAGGACAAAGGCTCCCCTTGTTTGCTCACCCACCAAATCCAAAGGTGACCGTTAAAGACCTATCAAGGTACCACCAGGATACAGCATAAATCATGTGTGACACATCTTGATGCTTTAAACAGGTCTGTTGCTTTCGACCAACAATCATGATGTGTCAAAAATCTGTTCTGAATTATTCTCTGAAGCTAGCAGAGATTAACACACACAGACCATGCACTGGAAACAGAACGAGTTGGAAATTTTTCAGCAGAAAATGTTGATTCATCAAAACCCAAACTTTTTGTGGGAATAGATTGCTTTTGATGAAAGGCTCCTCCACTCCAATAGGGAGAGATTTGAAGACTGAAACAGGGAGACAGGCATGTCTACTGGAACTGGCACCAGCTCAGTGACTCAAGTGCTGAAGATGCAGAAGATCAAGATTTGTATCTGTAGCCCAAGTCAGGCAAACAAGGGGTGGCAACTTGTTCCTCCACATCCTTCAGAGGTGCCTGACCATGGAGCTATAGGCTTCTCTGGGAAAGGCCTGTCTCCCTCAGAAGATCTGCTCTCTCCTGGTTCAGAGCCGGGAGAATGTAAAAGTTGTGGAAATCTTCATGAGGCCAGAAAAGTGACCTTTTAGCCAGCTTGCACATCAAGAGATCATACAGGGGGTTGAGTTGTTGGGGTTTTTTTAAACCAAAACTTAAGATTTATATCAATGTTAGGGTATCAGCAGAGAGGGCACAAAGGAAAGCTTTTGAAAAACTATTCCCTACATCAGTTACCCTAGACAGGTGGACTGAACTCTAGCTGAACTGCTGAGTTTTTGCTGGATCAGTTGTATATAAAATGATTACGCATAAAGACAATTGCATTCTGGATGACCACTGATGATAGCTCCATCAAAGAATATAACTTTCTTTGAAAAGAGTAGTTTTCCTTTCTCATCCCTTACTCCGGATATTAAATATTTCTTAAAATAATTACAAAACCAAAATACTCATTTCAACTAAGCCTAAGTTACTAACTCTCAAACTTGCAAAAAGTTGGGTCTTCAGATTCCAGAAGGAAATCTGAAATATATTAACTGTCCAACCAAATTTGAAGCACCTCGCAAGACAACAGATTGCATATTTAAAATTAGATTTTAGTAGGAGGCCCTGGTGACAAATCTGTATTTTTCTCCTGGAGCAGAGCTTGAAGGCTGTGAGAATTAGAACAATGATTAAATCCACAGCGAGCAATGAGCTTACAGAAATAAACTTTTGCTAAAATCTGCCAGCCAACATCAAAGTTTTTACTGAATTTACAAGAACCACACAGAAAAATGTACAAGACTAATAACCAAGTGTGAACATACACGTTTTATTGTAATTAAAATGTGCTTTTTCAAAAGGGCAA